ATTGGAACCACTTGAGTTAAAAAAAAAAACAAAAATGAATTATTTTTATAGGCTCATTGTACATTTCTCCTAAAAACAAATTTGCAGTTATATTTGTTGCACAAAGTACTTTCAGAAATGCTTTTGCCATTGAAATAGTGAAGTTATAGAGTATAAGGTTTTAAAAGTATTTTAATTAAAATCATAGTAGGATACCAATATAAAGGAGTGGAAATCATATTCTTTGGTAGTTATGCCCAGAATTTAGCTTGTACTTATTAAAAACATTACCTACTCAAAGATCTTAGGTACATCTTTAGGTATAGATGAAGTATTTGCTCAAAAAAGTAATCTATTTTGCTTGCTAAGAAAAGAATCATAAGTTTTTTTTTTAGATTAGAGAAATTCTGCTGTCTTACAGGTAGACAAATTCATTGCCACTGTCAATAGAAATTTGGTGGATTCCAATATGTTCCTGAGGAGTCTGATTTTATCTCTGGAACACTTCACCACAATACAGCCCGAGTTTGCAGGTAGGTACACTGTTTGTTTCACCCTATCCAAGATAAGTTATTATAAAGATGCATCTATGAAGATCAACTATAAAGATGTAATTTGATAAAAAAAGGTAATGAATGAAATTTCTTTTTTTTTCCTCAAATCCGAGAAGAAGGCATAAGGGACGAAACGTCGGATTAGATATTACATTTTTATAGTAGATCTTCATAGGTACATCTTTGTAATAACTTATTTATTTCTTAAAGATCTATATGGTTATTTGATATGAATTTTCACCCCATCAATTTAGAAAGAAAAGATGGCAGCTGCAGCTGTTTCAGTTGCATTTCACAATCATTGATTTAAGAATCTGTTTTGTTTTTTATTTTTATTTTTTATTATTATTTTTTAAAATTTATTTATTCTTCTTTTTTTTTTTTAATTTTTTGGCAAATGAGATTGAAAAAGTCACTGAATGTACAAAAATGATTATCACCAGTTCTATTTGAACTTCTGTCTTCAGATTATGTAACAAAAGAATGCCATTTGCTCAAGTACCTGGATGAGTTTGGGAGGCAAGTCGACTACCTCCACCGCCTGGTCAATATCATCAATGTACAAACTCTGACACAGGTAAGATGTGTTTGACTTGAACTTACTAGTAAGTATTTTAATTTGTAGTACTTTGTAAACTGAGTTGGGTATTTGATTTTGATTAATAGTGATAAGCAGCTTGCTGAGGCCTTCCGGTCCAAAGTTGAAGAATAGGCAGATACTATGCTTGTGTATAGAATCTTAAAAGGTTTTGTGATTTATTTATTTATTTATTTATTTCATCCAGGAAAATGTGAGTTGCCTGAACACAACGTTAGTATTCCTCATGTTTGCCAACCGCCGCGGAGAACTTCCAAAATATTTGTCTGCTCTGAGAGAGGAGAAGTACTGTCGTCCCCACGAAAAGAAGGGCGGCGATGTCCTCATGAAGAATTTCAGGTACAATAATTATCCACAAATTTTGAACATAATTGATGAACAAGGGAAAGCAATATAGTGATTTGTAAGTTGCTCTTTGGACTGGAAATAGGAATGTGAGAAGGTTGAACTCTTGTCAGAAAGCACATTGTCATTGAAATATGAAAAATGATGAATAGTTAAGATATTATTTGAATAATAGAAGGGTTTGTCTTTAACTATTAAAATGGGATGAAAAAATTATAAATTGTGAAATTATAACTACCCTTGATAATAGAAGTGGATGAAAAAACTCGGATAACTACTGTGGAGAAGTTTTTTGTTGTGTTTACGTTTTAGAGTATAGACATTCAAACACAGCGTAATGTGAGGATTTATTTAAGTCCTCTTATATTTCAGAGACCTGTTATTGTTCTGGCAGGAGCACTATCTCCACAAAGATAAGGACTGCAGTGCACTGGAGAAGGTAGGGACTGATAGCCGGGATGTTTTTATTTGTAAATTAAATATCGTTCTGTAATTTCAGATTGAGAGGGATTAATAATATAATGATGTCCCAAAATTTACAATGTATGCCCATGTTGTCATGTGTTAAAAAGTAATTTTAGGTTATGGATGAATTTTTTTAAAATTATATATATCTTTTTGAAAGATTTATATGTAATTAGCTCTTTACATATAAAGCAGAAACATATTGAATATATGAAAACTTGTAACTTCTTGCTTTTTCAGAGTTCTAGAATCAGCTTCGACTACTGGAAGAAAACTGTGACATTATTGGTGGACGATGACCGTAATCAGCACACTTCTGTCCTCCATTATATCCCTCCAGACAAATGCAGGGACAACTGAATAAGGTCAGGGTCAGGTCAAGGTTATGTTGAAGGTCAGGTCAAAGGTCAGTGGCCAACATGTATAGTGCAAGTGTAAATCTGGATGTATTCCCTCTGATGGGGCAGATGTACAGAATTATGCCCCAGTCATGCATGAACAATATTAATTCATTATTGTCATACAGTGGAATTTTATCGTGGAAACGCAGACATTTTTTATTGTCGCTGGACTGTCGCGTCTGGTCAGATTTATCTGTTGCGCTGTGAGTAGCTGCTACAAATGACTGGCTTGAGATTTTTCATTGGTTAACACTGTTTGCCTTTAGAAATAGCCATATCATTAAGTCAGATTTCAGTGTGAATTCATGATTATTGTTGGAATTCAGAGCAATAAGTATTGAGCCTTAGGTAATTATAACATACCAAGTGAGTGATGTTTTCAGCTGTTTGTGATGTATGTTGAAAAGATTTGCATCTTGGAAATTTGCAATGAGGAGTAGGATGGCTGTTTTCATTGTGTGTGTAAGTGCTGACAGTTTTAGTGTATCATGATAAAAAAATTACATTTTCATCCTGGGAGAGAGAATTTTGATGGAAGTCCATGAGAAATTTAGCCATGTATGTTGCGGGTCTTATTTTTGTCCTCTTGTTCAAATTAGACATCTTGTGATAAAAAGTCATTGTCTTAATTATCCAGATGCATTCAACATATCAGCCAATTGTATAATATATGCTGCAATATTGTACTCTGCACAGTTGAAAGGTCTTCTTTTCATAGGTGTCTGCTAAAACATGTCAGAAATTGAAGTATTGTAATTGGCAGCTAGGTGAAACAAAATTTCAAAAATGCTTAGTTTTCATATCTGTGGTGTAGACCAGAGGCAAGTTTGACTTAAAAAGAACTTCTTCAAAAATTGGTGTAGGTTTTAGACCATAAAACTGGTCCTCTTCTGCTGAATCCATAATAGTTATTACTTAAAATATTGGTCTGAAACTTGCTATACAGCAGGTACAATATTCCATCAAGTTGGTCTGTTATGGAAATTTATTTCTTGGGTCACAGGAAACAGAAATTTTGCTCTGGACTAAAAGTTAATACCAATTTTTGTTTTAAGTTTTCGTGTGAAACACACCTTGGGTGGGAAGTCCAGTCAGTATGTAAGTGTGAATTTGTGTACACTGTAAATGGTCTGTAACATCCACTGTAGAACTAGATGCATTTGGTCAATAGGGCAGTTCATGGTCAGATTATAAATCTGACTGTGTTGTCCTCTAGTTTTGTCCTGTGGACTTTATGATTTATATTGAAAGTAATTTTTTGGGTTGATGTCAAAATTGCATGCTGTGACATTTATTTACGTTCATAAAATCCTATTAAAGCAGGAATTGAGATATGCATTTATATAGTATGTCATCAAGTGATATGGTAAACCAGTTGGCTATAAAGAATTGGGCAAATGTCAGTTAAACTAGGGGATCCTGCCTATGAAGGGTAGAATACCTGCTGGAAATATGAAAATTTGTACATTAGGTTATTTCTTTTCAATTGATCTGAGATGTGCAGTACAAAAAAGTCTTGGCCAGTGGTATTTTAATATCATTTATTTAACAATGCCTCCATATATGTGATGCTCTGAATATTTCAATCATTTAAATTGTATTGCACGGGCATTGAGTAATTTTTTCTAGTTATTTTCCTTTTACAGTCTAGCAGACATGAGTGGAAAATAAAGATTTTAATTCAGAAATTTTTATCCAGGCATAAACAGCATGATAAGTCTATGAGATAGAGAAAGAATCATTTTAAAGTTATTTTAAGGCCATGTAAACTTCTGTATATGTAATAAAGGTGGATTTTTTCATTTGGTTGTATGATTGAACTTGATATTTTTCATTCTAAAAATTTTTTCTAATGGGCAAAATCATGAAAGCACCAATACCATGATTAGAAAAGATCTTTAAAGTTGGGTTTTAACTTGAAGAATAAAATGAAAACTTTTTTTTTTTTTTTTGGAAAATGAGCCAATTGCTCCCAATGACATTATTTACTAAATTATTACTATCAAACTTTTTTTTTTTCTAAATATTTGGAGAACTGAAGTCAGTTGCTCTCGCTTCCCTGTGATCATCAATATTTATGAAGAACTTTTAAAAGATGTACGTCCACTGACAAACCGTGATTTAAAAAATAACTTTAACAAAGACAGTATTTTATTTTCTTTTGAAAAGTTTAATCACCAGACAACTTATAACAACACAGCTGACACTGACCATAAGGAAATATCATACTTGATGCATAAATAATGTTTCATAAATCACATTATGAAAAAACACTTGCACTGGAGTCTGCACCCATTTTACAAAGATGAGGCATTTTTCCTGAATTTTTCTGTTTATGCATGATACAAATGAAGATGTAAAGAAATGAACAATGTACTCTCTGATCTCATAAAAAAGATGCTGCTTTGAAATTAAAATTAATTCAAATTATATTTAAAAAGTTTTCTGATAAGCAATAAATGTCCACTGGGAGAAGCCGTCTACAATGGCAAAGTCTTCCTTGGAGGAAGTTGTATACCTACCTGAAAAGAAAAAACAAGGTTATGAAAACTATATAATCAATATGAATTTTGATGGCATATTAAGAAAAACCTGCAGACACCTGCAAAACTTTTCCTTTCTTTACATCAAATTTTTTGAAATGGTGCACAAAGTAAGCCAGTAAAGGCTGCAGAATCTCAAATGTCTAGGATGTAGAGGATGATATTGCAGATGTTTGTCCAGGTTAGAATTTTGGGACAAGCGCTTCTTGTAAGTTATATCAGTAAATATAAATACTGCATTCCTAAAATTGTTCTAAAAGTGAAAAAAAAAGGCATTAATTGTTGTTTACTCCTGAAAATGCAAATTCAAAATTAGGGGTTTTATTCTTGACGTCTTCAAAGTTTTCTTTTGCCAGCAGCTACAACAAAACAGGAATTCATAGAACAGTTCTCATCAAAAAGAAGATTTGGGTGCAATTCCTACAACTGAGATCTTTTCCAGGTTTCAATCAATGAATGTTTTAGAAAGAAAAAAGGAAGTACTAATACCAATAAGAATTGCATTTCTATGTTGGTAATATTTGAAATCGTAAGAATTTTGGAATGGGTTGTAAAAAGCACCAATGTAGCATAGTATTTCAAGTGACAGCTCATGGCTTTTCTTAAATAAATCTTCTGATTTTAATTTAAAAACCAGACTACTAATTTCTTTGATTTGCCCCTTATTCCATTAAAATGTGCAATTTTAATCTATTGGTATAATGAAGGAAATGAATCATTTGCCTGGCTTATGCCACCAACTTCATGCAATGGGGTGTCACACTCGAATATTGAAGCCAAACTAATATTACATTTTGACACATTAAGTATTGAAATAACGCCACAGTTAGGAAATATACTTTGTTTATACATATTGTTTATTAATGTAACTAAAAAATGGAAAGATACATACCTTCAGTATCAAATAATACAGAAAAACCTCATCAAGATTTTTTTTTCCCAAAAACACATCATTTTTCCCAGCTATCTTTCCTTTGGCAATATAATTAAGCCACAGTAGGGAAAAAACAAAACATAATTTTCAACTGACAACTTGCATACAAAGTTTCTTTAAAAGTAATACCATGCAATTGCCAGATATAACTTAATCTTCATGTAAAAACACATGGTAAGACACTTTTTTAAACTAAGGTCAACCTTGAAGCTGTCCTGTCTTGTCTTCGGTCTTCCGTCTCAAAGCCTCTGGTTTCATCTATGGTTCTGCTAGCATATCTAAAAGAAAAATCAAAACCTTGTCTAGAATGAAGTTAATTTCCACTCAGCTCATTTATTTGTTAGTTTTACCAATCTCT